CTTGAAACTAAATGTTCTAATCTTCCAAGCTCACTAAATAAATTATTTGTATGTACCATTTCTTCTTTATTAATTCTATCAGTTATAAAATCTGGTAAGCCTGCAGCAATTATATCAATTAGAGTCCCTTCATCTATTGTTTTCCTTACCTCAAGTAAAAGTTTTTCTTTTTTTATTGCATACTCTAATAAAGATCCCGATTGGTACCTGTACGATAAAGCATACTTGCTAGCATTCCAACCTTTATTCGCATAGGTTAGTAAGAAACTTGATTTCCATTCAGACCACTCGGAGTGTAAGCTAAGTTTGATCATCATGGAAGAATACCAATCAGTGCATGACTTTTCAAGAAATAATCTCAATATTTCAATTTTTTCTTCTTCTTTTACTAAATTAAACCTTTCACATTCTTTTTCAAATACTTCCATCCACTGATGCGCACTTGAACTTTTTCCATTAAATTTCTCAATTACAAACTTGTCAGCCAACTTTTTCATACATTGCTTTTCTTTGTTTTGTTGACTTTCAACTAGTTTTTCCAAAATTTTCACTATAGGATCTTCAGAGCACTTTTTGTTACCAGTAGCCATTTGTTCTTGGGTAATTTCCTCTAAAAATTGGTCCTGAAAGATCATGTTTCCATCTTCATCAACATATGTTTGTAATATATCTTGTGTTGTCTTGATCCAAACACTTCTAGTTTGGTATCTTTTTTTTAATGTGTTTTTCACAGTTAAAAAAGTTTTCGAAGATTGGATATGTTTGTGGAGTGACATCGCTTGACATTCTTCAGGTATAAGGAAAACTTTGTCCTCTTTTGTGGTAATTGCGGTAATTGCGATAAAGTTCGACTTACCGTCTATTGATTTTACTTCGAACGTAAATTTCAATTTCTCCATTTTGTGACAATAAATGTCGTTTTATAAGATATTTCTGGATTAGGACGACACAGTCAGTAAACAATTGAGTTTCTCTGTAAGAAATTTAGAGTTATTGTTTATAAATATAAAAATTTAACAAATGTGTGTATTTTAAAGTTTCAAACTATTACAAACCTGTAAGAAAAGAAACGACATTTAATGTTATTATTAACAATGCCAGTTCCTAATCACAATTAGAGGTATAATACTTAATTAAAGAAATTAATAACCAATTTATTGTTCTTCTCAACAAATACTAATTCTACGATATTTTATTTAAATAGACAGATGACATGTAAACGTCATCTGTTAGATCACATTCAAATAAAGAAATTTATATTATTTCTTTACATATATAAAATAACCGATGATGAATTTGTGAACCGGTTATGCGCGGAATTTCCGGAAGTATTTACAGATAAGTTAGGGACGTGTAAACGAACCATTCAATTACAACTGACTAGCGAAGAACCTGTGTACGTCCGAGCGAGGCCCGTGCCTCTGGCGTTGCGCGCGCGCGTCGAGCACGAGCTGGCGCGACTGGAGGCCGACGGCTCCATATACCGCGTCGATTACTCGGACTACGGAACGCCTATAGTTCCGGTCGTAAAAAAAAATGGAGATATACGAATATGTGGGGATTATAAAATTACAATCAATCCTAAGCTCAAACGTGATTATTATCCTTTACCCCGCATTGAGGAGTTATTTGCGAACTTAAGCGGAGGGGAGAAATTTACCAAAATTGATCTCACTCACGCTTATGAACAGTGTCTCTTAACAAAAGAGTCACAAGCTTATACAGCGATCACAACTCACCTTGGGACATATGCCTATCGCCGTACGCCATACGGTTTAGCATGTATACCAGAAAAATTCCAAAAACTAATGGAAGAGACCTTGCGTGGTATACCTGGTTGTGTCGTGTTTTTAGATGACATATGTACCACCGGGACTAATGATAAAGAGCACATAAGTAATTTACGAGCGGTACTCGCAAGGTTACGTGACACAGGTTTAACAGTTAAGTTAAGTAAATGTAGTTTTTTACAAGAAAGTGTTAAATATTTAGGTTTTATCATTGATAAAAAAGGGTTACGGCCCGACCCTGCCAAACTGGATGCTATTTCCAGTGCACCCAGGCCAGAAAATATAACACAGCTAAAAAGTTTCTTAGGAATGTTGAATTATTATGGAAAGTTTATTAGTAATTTAAGCACGTTATTATATCCTTTACATAAATTGTTAAAAAAAGATATTCGCTGGCAGTGGGGTCACAGTTGTGAGCAGGCGTTTATAGAAGCTAAGCGTGCTCTCCTGGGCGAGCGAGTACTAGCACATTATGAAGAGGGGCGACCGCTTGTGCTTGCGGTCGACAGTAGTGCGTATGGGTTAGGCGCGGTGCTGGCACACCGCTATTCTGATGGCAGTGAGCGCCCAGTTAGCTGTGTGTCTCGCACTTTGAACGCGACCGAGCAAAATTATAGCCAGCTAGATAAGGAGGCGCTCGCAATATTGTTTGGTGTAATAAAGCATCATCAATACTTGTTTGGCAGAAAGTTTATATTACGCACGGACCATCAGCCGTTAACGCACATATTCGGTAATAAGGGTGGCATACCACAGACAGCGGCTAGTCGGCTACAGCGCTGGGCGGCACGCCTGGCCGCATACGACTTTACGATTGAATTCGTGCGCTCAGCCGACAATGGACCGGCGGATGCATTATCTAGGCTGCCGTTGCCTCAGGAGGGTCGCTTGGTGGATGCAGTAAATTATATTAATTTGATAGAGGATTTTTTTCCTATTAGTTTTAAGGATGTAGCTCGAGAAACTGAAAAAGATTCATTGTTAAGTAAGATAAAGGGTTTTGTAAATTTTGGTTGGCCGTTGACGGTGAACGACACTGAGAAACCATATTTTGTAAGAAAACAGGATTTGTCTATAGAATTGGGCTGCCTCATCTATAGGTATAGGATTGTTATTCCCACTTCATTACGAAAACAAGTTTTAAATGAAATCCACGAAGGTCATTTGGGTATGAATAAAATGAAGAACTTGTCGCGAAGTTATGTGTACTGGCCCAATTTAGATAAGGACATAGAGGACTTGTGTCGTGCGTGTACGGCGTGCTGCGTGGTACGCGACGCGCCGCCGCACGCTCCGCTGCACCCATGGGAGTTCCCGCATCATCCCTGGCAGCGCGTACACGCGGACTTTGCGGACTGTGGGGGAACACGATATTTAATCATGGTTGACGCGAACTCTAAATGGATCGAAGCCATTGCTATGCGAAAGACGGACGCGCAAGCGACTATCGCAGTAATGAGAAGTATTTTTTCTCGGTTCGGGTTACCGTCACTACTCGTCACCGACAACGGTCCTCCATTTTTCTCGCAGGAATTCAAAATGTTTTGCCAAAAAAACTGTATAAAGCACGTGACCTCAGCTCCTTACAGACCGCAGGGAAATGGAGCTGCGGAAAATGCGGTAAAAACCGTTAAGAAGGCGATCAAACGCGCTAAGTACGAGGGGGAGGACGTTGCCACAGCCCTAAATAAATTTTTATTTCAATATCGAAACTGTCAACACTCAACCACGGGTGTTTCTCCTGCAGTAGCGTTGCAAGGACGTAGGCTCCGTGGCCGCCTCGACGCACTTCGGCCTGACGTGTCGACTGTTGTGCGCGCCGCTCAAGAGCGACAGGTAGCCGCGGCGGGCGGAACGCCGCGTACCCTGGCGCCTGCTGACGCAGTGCTGGCGCGCGACTACACCGCGAGAGGGGAAAAATGGGTACCGGGTACCATAGTCGAACAGACTGGACCCGTCTCGTACAAAGTTGACATAGGGCGCGGAGACAATTTGCGAAGGCATGTTGACCAAATTATACCTATAGGCAACAAGAATCGCCATTCGTTATCCCGCACTAGCATAGTTTCTAGGGGTAATGATTTAGCATCTGAGCAGGAGACCCCTTCGGTTTGTGAGGAGTCTGGAAACACATTTGAGGACGCGTCGGATGGTGTTGGTGAGAAACTACAAACTACTGGGTCTGAAACAATCTTGAAGTCGAGAACATCGCCACCACCACCCGGTGCGTCTGCCCGTGCTCTGCGAGCATATAATCGGGCTCGGCAGGAACCTATAGATTAAGATGGTATTAGTGTTTAGTTACTTAGCGTGTAAGAGGATAAGTTTATAGCTTAAGGGGGAGAAATGTACCGTCTCGGTCAATATGTTGTCGGGAATATTTGTATGGTGGCGGGTAGATAGTTATATTTATTTAATAAACCAGTTTACTGCTAACTCTCGCCTATTATTGACGCTGCAGTGACAAGGATTGAAAAGGGAATGTTACGCTGGTTTGGACATGTAGAAAGGATGGATAAAAGTAGAGTATCGAAAGAAGTATACAGAGCGGATATGAATGGGGCCGTCGGTAGAGGGCGCCCTAGACGGACTTATAGTTACCAGATTGGCTATATATAAGAAGGGCCAAATTTAAAGTAGGTACTCTTAACCGACGAGCATGCGTGAAAAGATTGATGACTGTTGATGAAGCGAAAGAGGTATGTAGGAATCGTAGTAATTGGCGTTCCCTATTCCCTGCCTACAGGGAACTGCTGCCCATTGGAGACAGGCGTGAAGTTATGTATGTACGTATGTATGTAAAATTTCAATAATTATTCAATGTCAAGACTATACAACCACAATTGTAGCTGTTAACATAGCATTTAGAGTACGGAATATAAAGGCAAACTCAATACCATTTAGTAGTTGAATCAATATCCACACAATACGGATGCAATGGGCGCTAGTGTTGCACTCAAGAGTAGGAAATTTCACAATACCAATGTCGATAGATCGGAATTGGATTGAGTAAGCCACCTGACACATTCAGGATCTGTAGGATCGCCTACCACAAGCATACTCTTGCTTAAATTTTGTTTGAATGTACATAATAGTTGATGAAATAAATTATTTTAATTTCATTTTTTTTTAATTCAAGTTGTAAAAATACAAGTTAGGCTCTACTAATTTGAATGGGTCGAAAATACATAATCTAATTATCTTACTTACAGTTTTGGTAAGGTTGAGGTATCCGAGCCTACGAAAGCCGAGTTCATCAAATAGGTACTTGAGGTTGTTGCAATCCACGTCGACGCCATTGCGAAACTCTTCGATATTGTTATCAAACTCTGTGTATGTGAAATCTAGCAAGATGCCACGGTTGCGGCCGCGCGTTTTGTACAGCTTCAGATCTGTAATGTAATGACGGTGAAAGACTCAGTTAATAATAAACAATATTATTAATTCCCGCCTCAATAAATGGACTATTGACAACACCAACAGAATTTTCAAATTAGAAACAGTACTTAGCATTATAGTTTTAGTTAATTTTTATACACTTGGTTTCAAACAGAAACAGAAAGTGGTCAAAATCATCTCTATTTCTAGTAGAATAAATACCAGACGTCACCAGACTGCAATACAAATACCATAGAGGTGAATGATGTCATACCGAGTTTCAGATTAAGTTGAAAGAATCAGCTATTTGACATCAATTGGTTTTGAATAAATAAATTACATGAATGAAATTTGATATTAGTAAGACTTTGGAAAGCATTGATTGTTTGTAATAGTATGTAAGTTTAATTTATAAATTGGTCCACGCATTTTGGTCTATGACCACTATGGGGTGATACACACTAAACTACTTATTCTAAATTAAATCGATACACTCGGTTTAATTTCCACAACAGGCTTTAAGCAATGTAAATAGTTAGTTCTTAACAAGATATGAACAATGTACACAACAGACAATTAGATACTTTTTGTGTTAATCAGCATTCAGCCTTCCAGTAACTGGGTGTTATCTACACTAATATTACAAAGAGGAAAGATTTGATTCTTTTTTTGTTTGAATTGAATAGGCTCCGAAATTATACAAAACCTTCTTTTACTGTTGAAATCCTATGTTATCCCTGATAAAACAATGTACAATCGATCCAGTAGAAGTCACAGGGAACAGCTAATTGTTTTATAATGCTTAATAATTATTATATAATAATAATAATTCAAAGTTTATATTTATAAATAAAATAAAAACCTTTAGTATCGTCATCCTCCATAAATTTTGTGCTTTTCTTAACGATAAATGGTGGTGCAGTGACCTCTTCATTCACGTTGTTGTTCTCAACGGCAGGAGGAGGTGGTGTAGACTGTAACTGTGCATTGACTGCAACACATACAACAGGTTCACATTTAATATCATTTCATTTCACATGTTTACATCATTAGGATGACTTTGAATACTTACTTCTATTGGGTTCAGCTCTAGGCCTGTTTGATGTGCTGAGACTGCGAAAGTTATCATTGTCTGCCGGCTTAGGTTCTGAAAGTATCGTACATCATAAAATGAAATATTTTAAATCATAATCAAAATTGAACAGATGCTGTAGTATTTCTTTCAGAGGACTTACGGGGAATGGGGTGGAATCTCTGTTGGCTTGAAAAAGAAAATGGACTATCAGGGTCCAGATCACGCGCCAAGTCCCAGTATCCTAACTCTCCAAGAGTATCTACCAGATGTGCAAATGCATGAGGTCCTCGACGAGTTACATCCATGTAGAGACGACGTTTCCGATCCCTTTCCAACTCAGAGTTGTTCTGTAAATAAATGTATATGTTTGTAAATTTTTCCTGTTAAGTTATTTATAGATTGATAAATTCTTACTAAAATTCTGGTTTTAGTTGATGTCAAATAAATACAAAAGACACAACTTCTTGCCAAATAATAACGCTTATGGTTATGAGTCACGTATGAGAGTAACAATCATTGTTTTGTTTATTTTTGAGGATTTAAAATAGAAAACATTACGAAATATTTACTTACTCTGTACGGTTCGATCATTTGCTCTGAAAATACTCCCTTTTCATACAAAGCTGTAACAACTGAATCAAGATCCGTACGCTCCACCAGGGAGCTAAAGTTACTTTGGATTGCATCCCTGTGTTCTCTCTGCATTGTAATTAATAAGTTTAACACAGCTTTTTCCAAAATAAAATTATACCTGTTTTAATTGCGTAATTGGCATAAAACTGATAAATCGCGTTATGATTTCAAACACACTTATAAGTAGTAATTTCAGCTTGTATACTTATTATACTCTTGGCAACAAATAAACGACCGAACACGACAAATAAAACAAAATTCTGCTGTACCAAAATAAAAGTGAGTAGTGACTAACTGACATTATTGACAGGTATATTCAATGTATTCTGTGGTTGACAGTCACTAAATGGTGACACTGACAGTCATTATGGTAGCCTTAGATATCATAAAAATAGACTATTTTTCTAAGTTAGTACACTGGCAATGTATTTCTATACCTATCTCTGACACATTTTTATTTATACCTATTGTATGTAGCCTTTAAATGATTAGGGTCAGGTGGGCCTGGCTTATAGCGGTTTGTCAGAATTTAAAAAAAAGGGGGTAGCAGATCAACCATCTACAAACTGTCAATATTCATTAGATTTTCGACTTTACTTCAATCAAATAGAGTTGAAGATGTAATAGAGAAAGACAGAAAAGGATAGGTTGACCATTGTACAATTGATTAGTTAGTATGGTTTCAGTTTCAGCCGACATTTAAAAAGGTTTCAGCGAAAGCGCACAAAGCGCTACCCAAACCGAACATTAATAGAATGATAGCGGTCGTAAAAAAATAGGTCGCTCGCTTCTCGCTATTAACTAAATTTATTTGTAGATATTTGACAGCAAACGTCATTCTGTTGTCAACATAGTCAAAGGGTTGTCGACTTGTCGTCATTTTATTGACATTTGTTTCGGTGCTTCGGTTCATCGGTTGTTATCAAATCAGATTACGTTTTGGTCTGATTTATAAAGAATCATTAATCACGATCTAAGTTCAGTTTTATTCTGTTCGACTAGGCAGATACATCTACTTTTATCAAAATGAAGATTACGTTATTAGCTATTTGTGCTATTTTAGCTACTAGTTTCGGATATGAAAATTCAGATATTGTTTCGGCAAGAATTGAGGTTAGTTATTTAACGCCTACTTATTAATAATATTGAAGTAAGGATTGCAATAACTTTGGTATTTAATGTAATATCTTTTTTAGACTTGCAGAGGATGCTCACTGAATCGTCTACCGGAGGTGAAAAGATTTGTCATGGATGACGCTCCTAAGTATGAGCGTGTGGAAGTTAATTTCATCAGTGGAGCTCCCCCAGAGCTGGTGCTGCTTGGAGAAAATGACCGCGAACTAGAACGCCTACCACTGTCGCAACTGACTCGTCAGCAGTGCAATGAATTGGTCCAGGAAAGAGGCTTCACAAAGAAGAATACAGATAAAGAGTTGTAATTCCTTGTTAGGAAGTAATTGTGATGTAATTAATGTTAAGATTTAAACTTCTTTATGTAACATTCCTCATTCTGCTATTATGTATCTAAGAGAACAAATTTGCATAAGTTTTATAACAATCATGGAGTGAATTTGTAATTTTGTACAACTTGATGAATCATTCAATCAAACTGGTTTGTTATAAGATAAACAGTCAGTTCATATTTAGTGTTGTTTATTTAGTTTGATACATTTATATTCTGTTAATATTACAGAGATAACAACATTCAGCATGATGTCATATTAGGAAATTCAATCTTGTTTTCATGTTGTAGATAATATGATATGGAATGCTATTAATAATTTTATAGAATCTTGGGTTACCATGTATTGTGATTCATTTTAATTGTACTTTACCAGACAGAAATACAGTTCTATGCCATTTTCAAGTAATACATTTATTACCACTGTCACTTTGTTTCATTGCCTGGGTATTACATTAACAGTACTCAGTCATTTATATATCTGGATTATGACAGAAATATAATAAATTCATTTTCTAGTGTAGTTTCACGAATGGTACGGATGTAACATCTCAATTTTCCTGCTAATATTTTATACATTATAATAATAATTGCATTATTAAAATTAATGGTTCTAGTCTAGTAAAATTTTTATAAAATATGAATTAATTTATTTTTTATAAAAAATAACAGCACATGAAAGTGACTGGCAGATATTTACAAGGATTAAGAAAACAAGTAAGAAGTTTGTATAACAAATTAAAAAATAGTATCAGTGTGTAGTCCAGGACGCATGCGCGTAGTATGTGGGTCTCAGGTAAGGAGCGTGCAGTCGAGGTCCTCGTCGCGTCCGTCGGCGATGTTCCGGCGCAGCACCCGCGCCACCACGTCGCCCAGCGCCTCCCGCGCGCCCTCCTCTAGCAACGCCATGCATTGCTACACACACAATCATTTTCATTTACAAATATACATCACCTTTATTTACTTTACTTTCATTCGTTTGAATGAGAGTCATACATTTTCTTGGTGATCCATCCACCCAAGCATAACTGTCTTTTGTTATTCAAGTGATAGAACAATTTTTATAATAAAGTCCAAATCATTTATTCCTTAGAACTGGAAGGCATGTTTAAAAAAAATTAAAAGTGAAGCAATTTGCTCATTCCAATGTGTGTTCCAAGGTTACTTCTTTTTCAATCAGGTTCACAATAAAATTCTTTAAATACTATAAACTAATACATACAACTTGGAGCTGACCAAGCTGAATAAGAATTTTAGGACAGTTTGTTGTTGTAATTTATGACTTGAATATTTTATCCATACTACATTACCTCGTTATCTATGTAGCTCACCTGATACAAATAACAACTTGATACAAATCTTTACTAATATCGTCGCTTCTCGGAAGTGTTTGTGTAAGTAATCATGGGTCGTGGTAATGCGAGACGTGACAATTCGCACGTCCGTTGGCTATACGGTGTTCTCAGTATAAATAATTTATGGTTAGTACAGGAGAACAATTTTTATAAACATTACCCCAAACTATGACTTACGCATTGAGTGTATGTTTACATAATTTCACAGGAATATCACACTCCAACGTGAATAACAATTTGTGGATCATACGAAGATTTGCCACAATCGTGCAGTTCAGTATTGCATTTAGGGGATTGTAAGAGCGAGCTTGCGTTGCATGTACTGACCAGGTGGAACTGTTCATCTTGTGGCAGTCTCAACACAGCCCGCAATGCTATCTCTGCGTTGGCTCTGACGTAGGTGTTCTTCTCCTTAGTGCCGTTGACCAGTGCCGGCAACAGCGCCCGCAGCAGCTCTGCGCTGGGTCCGCTGGCGCTGAGCTCCGCCTCGCGGCCAAGCATCGTGGCCGCGCGCGCCATCAGCTGCTTCACTTCGTTGCTCGGGTGGTTCATGCTCTATCAAATCGTATTGAGATAAAAGGTTCGTGCAAAATGTGTCAAAATTATATCTCTAAATAGCTATACACTATTAATTTACCTACTAGCTTCTGTCTGCGATTTCGTACGCGCAAGTCCGTTTTTTTCCCGGAATATCCTAATAATTTCCAGCCAAACTGTTTTAGCTGTTAGAGTTATAAATAGTCTTACTAACCCGACTTTCTTTTATGTAGGTATACAGTTATCTATATTATAATACTGCTGAACGTGTGTATGTCATTAAACTCCTCCTAAACGGCTTGACCGATTCAAATGAATTTTTCTGTACGCGTTTGAGTGGCACCCTGGACGGTTTAGATTCACAAATCAGCCCGGCAGATGGCGCTGCAGTCGGTGTCTAGGTTAGTTATCCTAAATGGCTGAACTAATTTGAATGATTATACATTCAATATAATTTATAATTTGATTATACATTCAAGTGAATATGAGGGACAGCGGGACAACGTTTGTCGGGTCCGCTAGTATATATATAAAAATTAAACCCGTTTCCCGTTGTCACGCCATAACTTGAGAATGGCTGGACCGATTTGGCTGAATTTTTTTTGTTGTGTTTGTTATCGTCAGGAGAAGGTTCTTATGATAGAAAAAAATCCTGAATACCTTATGGGAACGGCAGAAAACGGGATTGCGCGTACGAAGTCGCGGGCAGAAGCTAGGATTCAATAAAGCTACATAGACAAGTTCAATCGACTACACTATTATTTATATTTAATTGAGATTGTAATCTTAAGAGAGAGAGAGTTATTGAACTGTGCGACAGTGAACACAAGAATGCATGATTAACTACATCTTTACTAAAATACATATAAAGCTGAATTGTTTGTTTCTAAAACATTATGCTACGATTAATACGGGCCAAGCAGCGGGTGAAACCACATAAGTGTAGCTGGTTTATTAGAATGATAGGAGAGTATCAACTCACTCTGACAAACTGCGAGAGAATGGCGGGCGGCACGGGCCGGCCCTCCTTGAGCAGGTGGCGCATTAGGTAGCCCATGGCGCGGAGCCCGTTGCAGGCGATGGCCACCTTGTCGCTGGCCAGCAGCGCCAGCAGGGCCTTGTCCACCTTGTCCTCGTCTTTGTAGACGACGTGGGGCGTCTCCTTAAGTGCCACGAAGAGTGCGGCGGAGCGGCCGTGCGCCAGTAGCTCGGCGTCGCTGGCGGCCAGCACGTGGTGCGCCAGCGCGGCGTCCTGCTGCGCCGCCGGCAGGCAGTGCAGCAGCGCGCCCAGGCAGCCGGCCGCCTGCGAGCGTGGCGGGTCCTCGGGGTGCGCCAGCAGCGCCGGGCTGCTGAGCGTGGGCAAAATGGCCAGCGCCGTGGCGTCCGTCATCTTGTCTCCGCCGGCGGAGATGACGCCGCGCAGCGCCTGCAGCATGGTCTCCTTGATGAGCGGGTCCTCCACGTTCTTCATGGTGTTGTGCATCTCCAAGAATAGAGGGTCGGCGCGCGAGTGGATGACCACGAGCTGCGATAGTGCCAGGCACGCCTTGATGCGCACGGGTCGGTTCGGGTCGTTCAGAGCCTTTAAGAACGTCGTTTGCAGTTGTGGCAAGAACTGCTTCAGCATCACTCCCACCTACAACAATCGTTTACATTGCACTGGTATGTTTTTGAAGGATTAAGATCGCTACAAAGATAATTTTAAGCTCAACAGAGTTATACGAGCTACAGCAATTCAGGGCCAATAATAATTTTAAAGTAACAGTTACCATCTAGAAAATATTTCTACTGAACCCCTTAGAAGTAATTTTAGACTATAATATAAAGCGTAATGTACGCGCTAATCTCCGTAACTACAAGTCTGATTTGAATAATTATTTTTGTGTTTGATAGCGCATTTATCGAGGATGGCTATAGGCTATAAAACATCACGCTACGACCAATAGGAGCTGAGCCGAGCGTGTGAAACCGCGCGGAAGTATCTAGTTGTTTATATTTACAGCATTGTAGATTTTCAAAGATTATCATGTATGGTGATAGATAGCAATGCATTCCCACGTCATTGTTTCATTCTATTCATCATTGTATATTAAATGTGGGAAATGTTAGCGTGGAGATCAGTGGTTTCCAAGGAAATGTTACCTTCGTGAGTAAAGTGGCCAATGTCTCGAGCACGGCTGCCTTCACGCTGGAGTTGAACCTGTCTCCCAAGATACGGATGAGCGGCCCCGTGATATGTACTACGGAGGGCTGGATGGCGGCGGCAGAAGTCAGTTTGATGATCTCGCCCAGCATGAGCGCCGCGTTCTCCTTGTCTTCCGGTAGACCATTCAATATAGACTCGCGGAACAGTGGCAGGATCGGAGCCAGACCCTGTACGGAGAGGTGGAAGACGTCAGTGTCATATGGAATGACGGACAGGAAGAAACGGCGAGCACAGGACTGAGTTGACCTTGGGCAGACAGAAGCCGGGCAGCAACTGGTCGGGCTTGAGGTCGGCGGCGGCGTAGCGCACGGCCTGGCGCACGTCCGACACGTGCGCGATCTGGCGCTCGGGGTCCAGCGACTTGGTGAGCGCGCCCAGCGCCTCCCACGCCATCAGCAGCACGTCGCGCTCGGCGCCCGCCAGCAGCAGCACCAGGCCGCGGATGAGCTGCGGCACGTGCGGCGCCAGCTCGGCGCGCGAGTGCGTCACGTAGGCACACAGCAGCGCCGCGGCCGCGCGCTGGCGCCCCGCGTCGCCCGTGCGGATCGTCTCCAGCAGGGTGTCGATGATGCTGCGATATTTTGCAGTTATTTACAGGGCATATACAACAATTATATACAGGGCGACTTGGAGCTCGAAAATAAATATTTTGCTATATGTATTCAGACGATGCGATGCAGCCGTATCTTAGGTACAAACGGTATATCAAGCTGGAGAAGCTAGAAGTATCACAATAATTATGCACACACTGTTCAACGACTCTAGTGTGACAATGTAAGTAAATGAGGAGACACTTTAAACAAAATTTTGTAAATATTAATGTTTTTAAAAACTTTTATTTTTGTGAATCGTATAAATAATTTAATGGTTTTGGGTAGAAACCAAGAAAGTTTTATTAATAGATTGTATGCTTAACATAATATCAAATTTTTAATTAGTGACTCAAATTAAAATTTTATATGAATTTACTCGATATTTTAAAACGAACGATATTACTGCTAGTAGGTATTATTTTAATAAAAAAATAATGTTGATTAATATATTGACCACTAATAAAAATTAAAACAACTTAAACTAAACAAGTAGTATTTAATTTATTGATGTTTTTGTAGTTAATTTGGAACTTTTTGACCAAAACTAAAAATGTTTACTATCTTTGAAACTAGCTGCTTTCAGACTATCCCTAGTCTGAAAGCAGCAGGGACCTCAGAGGTAGTTTTGTAGGAAATTAGTTGTATTATATCACCTCCCGAGCGGAATAGACCGAGTTACAAGTCACCCGGTGTAAATTATTTATTTTAGTGATATCGTACGTATTTAACGTGCGTACCGAATGTCTTAATCTGTATCGTGCGCGAACGAGTGAAGTAAATGAATTACCTGCGCACGCCGGGCGGGTCGACGACGGGCAGCAGCGCGTCCCGGCAGTGGTCGAGCTCGCGCGCCTCGTCCGGGCCGCCGCGCGCCGCCACCAGCGCCGACAGCAGCGCCGGCAGCACGCGCGGCAGGTGGCGGGCCAGCGCCGCGCCCGCGCCCGCCGCCAGCGCCGATAGCGCGCGCGTGTCCACCGCGCCGCCCGCGCCGCCCGCCGTCAGCACCGGCACCAGGTACGGCAGCACCGCGCGGGACTTTATCGCCATCACCTGACACACGCACGTACAACCATGTGTGACTTTCACATGTGACATGTATAAATCACTAGCTTCTGCCCGCGACTTCGTACGCGCAATCCCGATATTTCCCGTTCCCGTTCTTGATTTTCGGTAAAAAGTAAAAAAAAAGAATTGGGTAAAGCTATCCTATGTCCGTCTCCTCCGTAAGCTACCTCCCCACCAATTTTCATCCAAATCGATTTAGCCATTTTTGAGTTATAAATAGTGTAACTAACATGACTTTCTTTTATATATATAGATTTATAACAATTATTACTTAGTATAATTCCGTAGTAATAACCCGTGCGGGAGTGGGTAAAAACTGAGTAATGCTCCACACAAATGTAGAAAAGTAGGAGGTTTCTCCATCTCTACAACTATATAGAATTAAAAAAATCACGTCAGTTCGTTGGTTCGTTTTGTCTATGAAAGAAGGACAAATAAACAGACACACCCTTACCAATTTAAAATATGGATTTCCAGTTATAATACTGCAAGTTCTTCAAATAGAAATATAGTGTCCAGGTAATTGTTACAAGCTCGGACGACAAACCTGTTTGAGACCATCGAGGGTGGCCTCCGCTATCTCGGGGTCGGGGTCCTTGAGTCCCTCCAGCATCTGCGGCAGGATGTCGTCGAGCGCCTTGTTCCCGATGGTGGCGTGCAGACTGTCGAAGGTCCGCGCGGCCGCCACGCGCACCTCGGGCAGCGGGTCGCAGAGCGCCGTGCGCACGGTGGGCACGAGCCCGTCCGCGAAGCTCAGCACGGCGTCCCGCGACGTGGACGCCAGGATCTCCCCCAGCCCGATGCACACGCCCTGGCGCTGGTCCGCGCGCTCCGAGCGCAGCCCGCGCTCCAGGATGGGCACGATCTCCGGCAGCACGCGCTCGCCCAGCTGCGGCCATCGCATGTGTTCTTATGTATTGCTAGCGATGTCATGTGGCTTACACACCGACTCGACAGACGTTTGCAATACATAAAGTCAATACGAAGCACAAATTCAAATTTTACGCCAATATTTGCACTTGGCAAATAGTATTCCCGTACTTAGTACGTACCTTGCGAACGAGGTCTCCCAACGTCCTGGCGGCAACCTGGCGTTTGTCGTAGCTGGTGGAGGCGAGGCAGCCCAGCAGTAAACCGAATAGCGTCGGTAAGATCTCGCGCAGAGTCTTCGGGGTGTTGGTCACCACCACCTGCAGGCAAGAAGGGCGTCATATCGTGTTCCATTGAGCTGAGTATCTATAGTATATCTACTGAATCGAGGCACATACCTTCCAGACATGCAGCGCGGCCTGGCGCACCATGAGTGCGACGTCACTCCTACCCATGTACAGTCCCGCCAATACTCGGTTCCTCCGCTCCGGGCCGAGTGCGTTAATGATGGCCTTGTGCGAATGCTCTGTACCAAAGTTATCATCTTCCGAAGCAGTTTCCGTACTCATCTTTCCAGAAACTCCCGAGATTCGGTAGAGTAGATCTCCCAAGAGTTGTACAGAGCTGTATCTGATACGCCAGTTGTCATCGAACAGTCCCTTCTCAAGCTCAGGCAGCAGTAGCGTGATTGCGGACTCTGCGTACAAGTTGACAATTCTCTGGCCGGCCTTGAGCGCGGTCTCCCTGACGTACTCGTTCTCGTCGGCGAGCGCCTTGAGGATAGGGTTGATGATCTGACCGATGTAGGGCAGGAACTCGTCCGTGAAGGCCCCGGGCATGTAGATGAACATCATGATGTAGCCGTCCTTCACGTGTGGCGCGATGTCCGTGCGCTCCGCCGTTGCGATAATATCTGCGATGATACAGATTAGTATCGTGGGTCGGCTAGTGGCGTTACAGCAGTATCAATGTCTAGGTCTTTGAAAAAGTTAACACAACTGACCTGGCATGATCTTATGCAGTTTGTGGACGCCGAGGCCAGCGACGACCTCGGAGAGTCCCTGAGCGGCTCCCGAGCGGTCCACGGAGCTGGACTCCGAGGTAAGGGTGTGCATGAGCCACGGCAGCAGTTCCTCGAAGCTGCTCTCTCCCATACCCTTCACCATGGCGCCCAGGGCCCGCGCTGACACTGAACGTACCTACGGGCGTAATGCGGTATTATAATCAAACTTCCATTAAAGTATTCAAGCACAAATTGTCTAAACGGCTAAATGAGTGTAAAGTATACCTCAGGCACGGGGTCGAGCAAGGAACTCTTGAGGCCGGGTATGATATTGGGCAGGTAGGGCATGAGGTCCTTCTGGTCGGTCAGGGAATACATGTTGCCGATGATCTGCGCCGCCATCTTGCGCGTCTCAGTGCTGCGGTCGAGGAAAGCGCGCTGCACCACCGGCATAATCAGCGCTAGCGACGGCGCGTCGATGAAGTGCACGAACTTGGTGTCCAGCAGGGTCTGCAGGCAAGCTGACGTCTTGTTGGATGGGTCCTGCAGGGCCTCCAGTAGCACCGGTACGATCGCTGTAATATGAACATATCGTAAGCATCTTCCCTCTACACTTTATAGGCTTTCTGGCAATATGAATAGAACCTTACCTTGAATCTCTGGGTTTCTGATGACGGATCCGATGACACCGAGAGCCTCGGCGCCCGCCTCCTGCACGCGCATGTGGGAGTCGCTGAGCACCTCGATGAGCTTGGGCACGATGGACGGCAGGCACGACGACAACTGCTTCGGGGCGCAGTACGCCATCGCGCCCAGCAACTCGATGGAACCTGTCACATACGACTTGTTTCCGTATCCAAGCATACCTCTGGGCTTAAATGTCATGAAGGACAAAATACGATACGACAAAATCGTATTTTATAGCAAGAAATTGTTTTATAAAAAAATATTCCACTATAACTTTTTTGTTTATCTTCTATTTAGATAATTCTTAAGAAAGAAGAAATTGTTTAGATTTTACAGAAGATTTAGAAAAAAAAATGTTGCGAAATAGCTGTATTTACTGTGATAAATTTCCTTTACGCCCCTATGATATTCAACCAATGTTACTTCTTTAGGGTGTAAATCCATACATGTGGGTCGTAAAGGCACTTTTTTAATAATTTAAGGGAATTAAATATACAGATCGATAGATAGTTAAATTCTGAATAAAACGGTGTAAATAACTCATTAGAGCCCAAGGTATCGATCGACATGCATGGAGGTTTTTCTCCATTGGAATCTACGCTTAGGGACACGCAAGTACTGGCAGACGCCATGATGTATTCCGGTCACGTACCGGCCTTGGTGCGCCAGTTGTCGTCCTGCAGCGCCTGCAGCAGCGAGGGCAGCACGAGCTTGACGCCGTGCGCGCTGAGCTTGCTCATGATGAGCTTGGCGGTGTCGTCGGCGGCGGCGCGCACGTACTGCGACGAGTCGCCGAAGCACAGCAGCAGGTGCGGCAGCACGTGCACGATGTAGGGCTCGAACAGGCGGCCCAGCTTGTGGCACAGCATCTCGAACCCGAACAGGGCACCTGCACCAACAACAAGCGGCCAGCTCGCGCCACGCACTCTCACGTCGGGCTATATACTACTGTTACGCTACCTTCTCGGTACTTGAAGTTCTTCTTCTCCTGTATGGCCTCAGTGAGCTTGCCCATCACATCGAGTTGCTTCAGAGACAGGATGCCGAGGCCCTTGATGATGCCAGCGATACCGTACGCTGCACCCTGCATTACATCAGACACATTAATATTAATAATTAAATAATATTCATTTTATTTCTAAACACTCACCTAATAAATAAATTGAGAAGTATTACAATCTTGGAAAATATTCTCTTCCATACTCACTTTCCTGTCTCCATATTTCTCGGCAGTGAGTAGTTGTTTCATGAGTTTGTTCATGATGGCCGGGATTTCGTCTTCCAGGGCTGGAGAACTGACCAAGTGAGGTAGGCAGTTGCTTACTGCTTCTTGTACCTGTCGGGGTTAATAATAATGTGAATGATGGACGGCAATATTCGTGTGGGCCAGGTCGGCCGGAGTGGCAGGCCGCACCTGCTGGCTGGGCGTGGACAGCGCGGCCACGAGGCGCAGCGTGATGGGCTTGATGCGCGCGTCGTCGGGCGCCAGGTGGCGCGCCAGCGACCCCACCAGCAGCACCACGCACTGGCGCACGGCGTCGTAGCCGCCCGACTTCGGCGCCTTGTCCAGGAAGTTCTCGAACACCGGCAACTGGCTGCTCAGGGTCTCCTGTGCGGCGGGAACACTACGTCAGCACTGTGTAACACTGCGCCACAGTATCGGGGGCATGTAGTGGGCCGTCACCTTCCCGTGCAGGTCGACGATGGCCATGGCCGCGTTGAGCATCTCAGCGCGCACGGGGTCGCTTCGGTCTGGCAGCGCGCGCTCCACGAAGAAGCGCATGGCGGGCGGCACGGCGGCCGCCGGCAGCTGGGGCGCCAGCGCCAGCAGGGCCAGCGCCACGCCGCGCCGGGCGCCCCACGCGTCCACCGCCGCCTCCACCACGTGGCCGAACTGGTCCAGGCGGGCCGGGATCATCTACACCACCGCACGAATAAATATAGCATTCGACTCTTTTATATGTGTGTAGTAATGATGATTGCAGCGCCGGGTACTGACGGGCAGGCGCTCCGTGTAGATGTCCTGCAGGCGGCGCAGCACGTGGTCGGCGGCGCCGGGCTGGGCGCGCTGCACGAGGTGCGCCAGCGCGGCGGCGGCGGCGCGCTGCACGGGCTCGGCGGGGTGCTGCACCTCGTCCAGCAGCAGCTCCACCAGCTCCGGCTCGCGGCTCCACTGCTGCGCCAGCGGTAACTGGGACCACAACTCTTCCGCCAGCTTTCTGTAATAACCAAACATGTCTGTAACGCAGTACGCAGCGGCTGGGCCTGTAGGAGCCAAAAGTACAAGAACCGGATGCTCACTTGTTGTCGTCTGCGACGTCGAAGGTGGCGACGAGCAGTCGCTTGGTGAGGTCGAGCGCGTGCTGCGGGTCCTCGAGCAGCGCCGGCAGCACGTCCAGCACGCGCAGCAGCGCGCGCAGCGCCGCGTCGCGGACCACCTGGATACACACTTCTGTACTCGCCGCCTCACCGTACTAACTGCTGTGTCTACAACTTGTCCTTCGTCTTTCAATAGCATGCAATTGGCATACTATTTAAAAAGCTAATTCAACTAACAGATGTGCTATAGTCGTTTAGAAATCTCATGGTTATTGCAAATGACGTACCGACGTTTGGTATTTAAATGGGGGCCTAACGTTTGTCTGCTCATTAGATGGCGCAAATGTAGAAAGGGGTTTACGTCCAATCAAAGTAGCTGTCAAATATTGATTGTCCAAAGGTGAGACGCTAGCTAGCTAATTCCCGATAGGACTAAAAAAGATTTTTCACACAAGCAACATTTGAGGAGCAAAAATACGGTGGGCCCCATTGATGTCTCACTAGAGATGTGGTGGTGATAAAATTGTGTAAAAATATCGATTGAATTATCTAACCGATATAATCCACATACAAATCAAAGTCAAAATCATTTATTTCAATTAGCCTTTTTCCTGGGAAGATTAAAAAAAAAATCCGCTAGGGGCAGCACCGGTGGGGGGGTACATATGTTTTGAATTCTCTATTGACAACAACGTCAAACGTGTAGAATTAAAATGGAATTAACTGAAGATGATGTACCTTTTTTTATTTTATCAATTGTTAAATCTGTCCTTCGTGATAAGTGTATCCACTCCAAACACTTTTTTTTGTTAACTTGTGGTTTTATAAATGGCACAAATTTTACACCATCTTGCTTGTACCGACTATCAGACGTACAATTTGCGAATGCGCAATGTTTTGTAGGCATGACTATTTTTTTAAAAAAAAATTTTATCACAATATTTATTTATTCTGATAATAATAAGACGTACGTTTGACGTTGTTGTCAATAGAGAATTCAAAACATATGTACCCCCCCACCGGTGCTGCCCCTAGCGGATTTTTTTTTAATCTTCCCAGGAAAAAGGCTAATTAGTCCAGGAAGGTTCATTTTGTCTTGTTTTAAATTAGTAAGTAGGTACTTAGATTTAGTTCTAGGTCTAAACTATCGCAATGGAGAAAACTGAAATGATTGTTTTGGAAAGGTTTTATGTAAATAATAAAATAAAAAAGGCACTTTTGAATGTTCGCTATTTGCTGATTTCAAGGTGTAGATTCCTATGGAGAAGAACGAGCAAGAAACTCCATAGGTCCTCTTTTTCAATCAGGTTTACAATAAAACTAGCGACCCGCCCCGGCTTTGCACGGGTGCAATATGCATGTTTTATACATATAAACTTTCCTTTAGAATCACTCTATCTATTAGAGAAAACCGCATCAAAATCCGTTGCGTAGTTTTAAAGATCTAAGCGTACATAGGGACAGACAGACGGCGGATAGCGACTTTGTTTTATAATATGTAGTGATTCTTCAGTTTTACAGTTTTGTTGGAGCAATTGTGTGAAAACATTGTAACATCAAAATCCAGTCACACATCAATGTTTAATCCAGTAATGAATAGATTTATTATTAACAAATTAAAATATTTTGATATAATTTTATAGATTAAAATCATTAAAAGATGTAGTCAATGACAATTACGTAAACATCACACATCCTTTTTATTATTTGAAAAATGTATGGCCTGATCCGATGATGGCATTAATATATATATAGTTATTTTTTTTTTAGAAAATTAGCTACACATTTTTTTTAAATTCCAAGCTTTGTAACCGATTTCAAATAAATCGTAAATTATGAATCGATTTTTACCATATCATTGTATTAATCTCTTGAGGCTCGATTCAAATCATGCATCAATCCGTTGTAATGTCAATATTTTATAATTTTACTTTTTACGGTAAAATATAAAGCGAAATTGTATTTGGATATTAATTTTATACCTATTTATTTATCAACTTGAGTTAATTATTGCTAAAGTTTATTTTATATTTTCTCTAACATAAAATCTATGTAACATGGATAAAAAAAATTGTGACACTGTCACATAAATGTCATCGTAAATCCACGAGACTTCAAAATGAGTATGTTAAAATATGTGATAGTAAAAGTAAAGAATGATGATGTAATGCCGGTAGTGAGTATTACGTCGAGCGGGCTCTGCAGGCCGGCCGTGAGGCAGGCCACGTCGTCCAGCTGCAGGTGCCCGCGCGCGCCGCAGGTGGCCGTCTCCAGCAGCGCCACCGTGCAGGCCGCCTGCACGCGCCCGCTCGTGCTGCCTGCCACATTACGTGCTTACTTTACTACTGTACCACCCTACCAAACTGAACAACGAACGTTAGCTCCATTAAAGCGGCCAGGAGAACCGCGCACTCCTTTCTGACAAATTCCTCCATTACATTTTGAATTTTATTGTTTTGTTAATAAGTTCAAATCCAATGAAAAATTTTACAGATTGGAATAACTTAATTTGCTGGCAAGTGAAACAAGTGAAACAAGTGAATTTATTTCTGCAAATAGGCTACAAGGCAGCACTTTTACACGTCAATTTTATCAAGCGAACGATGAGGTCGACATTTCCTAACTGACTACTCTGAGAAGAAATGCCGAAACAAACTCAGAGGTCTGTCTCTTTTAAAGTCCAGACAAATATGTATAAAAAGATTATGTGTGAGAACCGTGCAAGTTACTCATTACTACGTTAATCAATGCAACATTAGGACATTACTCAAGTTTATAACGATTCATAAGTAAATGAGTACAGCCTACGTACTGATGAGGTCAATGAGCAGTCGGAACATGTGGTCGATGGGGAACAGGGCGGGCTGCATCATGTCGGCGTCCAGGCGCAGCGCCGCGTGCTGCTCTATGACGGACAGACCGTTCAGCATCGTCTGCTCGTCCGCCCACAGCGCAGAGTTCGACAGACCTGCACGCACACAAGGAAGGTACATTGTACTTCATTTGAAATTAGGTTTTATGAATAGGGAATTAAACGTTAAAGTCGTGTGAAAGACTTGGTTGTTATTCAATGACAACGTACCAAGTTTAAGTAGTGGGAATGCGTAACAGAATCCTGGCGCAGTGAAGTGGTTGGTCTTCTGCGGCGTGTCGTCGTCTCCCTCGCTGGGTCTGGTGCAGGTGGTGGCGTAAATCTGGTTGATGGTGCGTGCGGTAGCCGCGTCCAGTTCGTTGTCTTCCCAGCTGGGTTCCAGGTCGCACTGGGGTTTGTAGAGTCTACCGTAAAAGTACAGATGAAGGTAGTACACTTGTTAAGTGTTTTATTTGAAATGCTATCCCAAGGAACATCGCAGGTCCATTTGAATCAGAATATCAAAAATTGTGGATGATACAAAAATATCGTTCCATGTAGGAAATTACCCAGTATGTAAATGGATCAACCGGCCATTCATAGGTGTGGCGGGAGTGGGTATGGAGGGAACAAAGCGAGTTACCGCAGCGTGAGGCGCGTGATGAGGTCCCCGAGCGCGGCGTGGCGCGGCAGCAGCGCGCGGGCCAGCGCGCGGTAGGCGGGCACGAGGCGCGGCGCGGCCAGCGGCGAGCGCAGCGCGGCCAGCAGCGCGGGCAGCAGGCGGCGCGCGCCGCGGCACAGCGCGCCCGCCGCGCCGGCCCGCACCGCCGCCACCAGCCGCTCCGCGCACTCCACGCGCCGGCTCAGCTGCACATACACCCGACTCAACGACCACCGACTACTTTTCACCTCTCGATTCTTATTCACAGTTTTATTGTACAGCTTTTTATCATTTAAAAACATTACAAGAATAAAAACCACCATGAGACGAATTAATTATTTAAATATTAAGTATGCTTCGACTAGTTTCGAACCACACTGAAGCTCTTAATAAATTGTTTGAATTTACGTGTACAATCATAAGTCGTACTTATGTCTCTCTGATACAATTTAATGTAATATAGTTGATAAAACATAATAGTTGCCGGCCTTTTTAAAAAGTCAACAACGCACCTGTGACTCCTCTGGTGTTGCGGGTGTCCATGGGCGGCGCTGATCGCTTACCATCAGGTGATCCGAATGCTCGTTTGCCTCCTATTAAAAAAAAAACTTACCACACTCAGTCTGTCTCTTATTGCACTCTCCTTAGCCAATTGGGCTTTGATAGCTTCCTTCTGTTTAGCTGATAAGGGCACCTGAAAATTACAAGAGATTTTAAATCGAAAGTCTTCATACAATGAATTAAATATATTCATTCACTTTGATCACAAGCCAACCTATTTTAATCTAAATGTCAGATTTTGCATTGCATATTGGACTTTATACCACACAGATAAAGTTGAAAATGTAATAAACTAATTGCCTGCTGCTTGATCTGTTGACCACTGTATATTATGGAACTTTTCCCATACAGAACTAGAATGTCATGTAGTGAGTGTTGTACTGACCTCTTTCACCTTGCCCTCTCTCTTGTTCTTCTCCTCGAGCTCCCGCCGCAGCTGCAACTCCTCTAACTGCTCCTTGTAACTGTACGCTTTGCTCTCGCGCTTCAAATTCATCTCCTTATTATCTTCATTACTGTAGCACAACACACATATTGTTTGTTACACCTTAGCTATTAATCTATTTATATATAATACTAAGCCCCTTCTCTTAAATCCAAGTCGGGGTGAAGATGCATGTCACTGAGTCACTGTTACCATAGCACCATAGCACGACAGTCACTGAGCATATGAGATCAGAGATCAGAGATGAGCATGAGATATGTCGACATAATTACAAGGTCTGATTTTAAAATATTTTATAAGTATCGGTACAAACCCTGGCACTGCGCTCTTGTCGTAGAGGTCCCCTGGCGGCGTGAGGTACGTGAAGTACTCGTCCCGCGACACACGCAGTAGACTGGGGTCGCTGAGCACGGCCAGCGCCGCCGACAGCGCCGCGCTGCCCGCCACGTCCGGGCTCACGCGGACCAACGTCGTCACCACGTTCGTGTTGGTCTGCAATATACGACATACGACGCCATATTAATACTACACCATTAAAACATTCAAAATCACTACTCCAGTTAAGAATCCTATATAATGTTTTGTTCAATCTGCACTATTGATAATGACTAATATTACCAAGTATTTACGAAAACTTAATAATACTTAATGCGACTCAAGAATCGATCCCGACTGTCTCGATCATTACTTGATTGATAAAATATTGTTTAAGCGAAGTCTCCACTCACGTCATTAGGTACATAGTCCACAATGTACTTATTCTTCAGGTTGTTTGAGTACAGGCTGACCAGCTTTCTAGGGTCGTGTCCGAGGTAGTTGACCAGCTTCACCCAGGCGTGCTGGTTCACTGCCACCGCCAGGGGGTGGTGGCAGCTTGGCAGGACTGATAGGGCTAAGTCTTGGGAGTCTTTCTCAGGGTAACCTGTAAGTACAATCAACATCTTACTCAGATTTATTTTTTATATAACTACAAGATATAGTAACATAGCAATATAGTCGAAATATCAAGAGCGAATGAGATACACCTCACCTTTAAATGAACACAGTGCCTGAACACAGTCTAAGATCATCTTCCCAGTGACTTCACCAGCAGCTTTCTCGTCAGATGGAGTTTTTTCTTTGGTGTTGAACACTTTTCCTTCTTCCAGAACTTCATTCAATTTTAGTGCTAAATTCCTAGCTAATAGAACCCTGTCTTCTTTAGCAAGTAGTGCCTTAACTTCCTCTACAGCCGATGTGCGAACAGTCTTGATAGGAGATAACAGTACTAGCACGAAGGCTCTGTAAATTGGCGAGTTTTGTTCGCTGGCAACACTTTGGTAGTTTTCCAACACTGTTCTGCATAGCAACACCACCTGCATTAGGACTATAAAGGGGTAAATGCTATAGTGAAATTTAGTAAATTATTATATAATATAGTGCTTTATTGTTAGGATTTATGTTTTTATCTCAGTACTTTGTTAGACTTATCAAATTATTTCATTTGTATGAATGTTCGGATTGCTTACTCAGTTTCTACTAATAGGGACAAGGAGATGTATTGTAATAATGAAATAGGCATAATTATGTACGTGCATTTGTGTATGTTTTTAAACTGCTGAATAACATTATGAGTTGTGAGAATAAACGAAAACGTTGTTGTGTGTACAAGGCAAGCCATTGTGCAATGATGATGAATTGGAGTATTACAATAATATGGAAACAAATTATTATTGTATTGAATTATTTGTTTATTTCTATGTAACGAAATTATGTAATTAACTCGTCGAGTACCGGTTTTATAGACACAATTAAAGAACAATAGGTCGCGGTCACCGGTGACCGCTTGGTGTTTGACAGTTTAATAAATTATCATTATTTATGTGGTTGATGCAACATAGAGGAAGCAGAATGCTACATCGTGTCATTTGGCGTTACATTCTCTCTGACTATCCCAATGGGAGCCAGAGAAGATGATGTATATGTATGTACGTAATGAAATCGAAGTTTATTGAAGAATATCGAAACATAGCAACGAAGTATGTATAGAGTGTTGTGTAGAGTACAGGGTCAATAGTTACCGTCGTCGGAGGCGGCGGCCAGCACGCGGTCGTGCAGCAGCACGTGCTTGTCCGCGTGAGTCAGCGCGGCCCACTGCGCGCGCGCCGCCAGTGACCGCGCCGCGTCCAGCTGTACCAGGCACAGCATCGCGCAGATACCCTCGTTCACCACCAGGTGCTGGGGACATTGCACCAAAGGTCTAGTGGTGACATTATATCTAGTTTTGCTTTACTTTTTGAGCTCCTTAAAAGCTGGCATCGCACTTGTGACTCCCGAGTGTCTACGGGTTAATTAGTGGAGCTGAGCGCTTTCCAGTGCGTCAGTGGTGATCCTTCTGCTTGCTAGGGCCCGATACCACAGTAAAAATATGCGTAAGTACCTGCAAAGGCTGCTGAGCCGCTTTGTCGACTGCCTTGCTGAGTACGGGCTGCAGCGCGTCGGCCTGCGCGGGGCTGGCGCCGCACGCGCGCAGCCCGGCCGCCACCATGCTCATGTACATCGTGCGCACCACCTGCGTCGTACTCTTCGCTGACAAGTTCTTCTGTTAAAGTAATCGTGTACTTATTAGTACTTGTTCAGATCGTTCAGTCACTGTATCAATCTTGCAGCCGTTAAATGGAAATACGTACCTTGAATATATCGAGTATCTTATCAGGCAGTGGGGCCCCCAGACCGGCGGTCCACCGCTGCAGCGTGTCCAGTGCCACGCACAGGGTGCGCTCGTGGGACTCACTGTCTAGTACTCGCGCCAGTTGAGTCGTTACCTCACTGAACAGGGTCAACCGATCCGCGCCAGATACCGGCAGCGCGCGCAGACAGCTCACACCCTGACCAAATCAGCGCATTTGTTTTAGAAATTTATTGGATACTATTATTAATAATAGTGGTAAAGAATTTTGTGACTTCTGTGCCTACATGCAAAATAAGACATCGGATTCAGTCAATGACTCCCGTCGGTGTTTTTCGTCTTCTTCAGAAGACCACGAGCATTTTCCACTGTATGAAACAAGAATACAACTCACATTGAGTACAGCGATCTTGTCCTCGCTGGAGGTGAGCTTGCCACTGGCGCCGTTGTACTCGGCGAAGGCGTGCGTGAGCAGCGCGCGCGCGGCGGCGGGCTGCCGGCAGCGCGCCGCCAGCCGCTCCAGCGCGCGCAGCGCCTCGCCGCGCACCCACTCGTCCTTCGAGTGCAGGTTCACTGCACGCCGCAACCAAACGTTCACGCACCCACATGATAGTAACATGTGCAATGTATAAGCAGTTATAAACACTTACCAATTAAACTTTTACCGATGTCGACAGCCAGCCCATCCAACTCTACATTGAGGCTGGCGAACACCTGTCCGACTGCCTGCACGATGGTCTCAGGGCTGCGCAGCATGGCCTTGTGTAGCGCCGGTAACAGTGCGTCGCGGACATCTCCAGAATTGAGTTGACTTAACAAGTCGTGACACCCCTTGATGTAGTTCGCGTTTGGTCGAGATTTGACGCTGATTACACTCTTGGTAAAGCTTTCCAGCATCTTAGTCTACAAGAATAACATGTGATAAAATAAATTGTCAATTTTAAGTCTAACCAACAATGTACACATGTTCGTGCTACAGGCGTTAATTCTAATAACCTCTACCAGAATTTAATATCAGGATCTAATTAGATGTGCATGCCACAAGAGTAATCATATCGTAGAATTAATAGTATCAAATACTTAGGCAAGCATTTAGTTACATACCTTGTGTTGTTCAATGGTATCACCATCACCAATCTGCTGTAGATGTCGGCACAGAATAGAGAATGTCACACAGATCTGTGGACCTGAGTCTGGTGGTATCGCAAGTAACACCTCAATCCACTTGGATAATTTAGCCTTGCCTATTGATACCCAAGATGTATGTAACTGGAAAGAAAATAGGCAGAGTGAAATAAGATTTTGATTGCTTTTCTATAACAATAAAACCAAATTTAACTTTTCCTCAAAAAAAATTGTTATATGTATTTTTCATACCATAGAATATGCCTTATCACTCTTTCTATGGTCCCCATATGCAGTAATAGCAGCTAGTAGGTTGGCCTGAGATATCACAAGAGTATTGTAGTCCACTCCATTCTCTTCTGTGGACTTTATTGTGCCATCTATAAGAACTGTGGACCAGCGCAGTGCATACAGTCCACTTTGGCAAATGCTCTTTCTGCAAAAATAATTAGTAAAATATTGAGTGATGAAATCTAAAGAAATATGTAAGAAATTTGATGGAAAGCTAGATACTATTTAGTTTCTGTTTACTCTCATGAGAAAAAGCACCGAGTTCATGGACATTACAGACATAAACACTTTTGTGCTTTGTCAATACAATATGACTTACGATGAAGCTGTGTTCTTCAGCTGTTCTGATATTTCTAGCAGAACAGGCAACAGAGCTTTGAGGGTCCATTCTCTGTGGGTAGCGGCTAGGTGGGCCACCAAGCTCTTGATATAGGACTGGGAGGTGGAGTCCCTGTAGCGGTGTAGAGTGAGCACCAGCAGGCGACACACAAACCGCACTGCTGGCTCTGTTATACCTGATATAAAATTTAAATCATGACTAGGTTTGAATCTTCAATAGAAAATAAATGTAGACAAACATATTTAATACACTCCTTTAATTAAACTAGATCATAGTATATTGAATATGCATACTCATGTGCAAACGATGTTAACTCTTTTACTAAGCAATATTTACTTATAATGTGGTGTAGTATATTTATATTACTGGACATTAATAACACACTTGTTCTTTTATCTTTAAAGACTATGTCAAATATGATATAACATTAATTTTTCACATAAAGTTATAAGAAAAATCTCATTAAGTGCTGGCCCAATTTGAACAATTCTTTTAATGTTGGATACTCCATTAAATGAGAAAGGCTATAAAAACAGCATGCTATGATCAACAGGTGCTGAGCAGAGCAATTGAAACACCATGAAAGTAGCTAGTAAAATATATAATTATAGTATCATGGAAACAGGGCAGTATTGATTACATATGTAATACTATCTCCATTTGCTTTGCCAGGCATGGTATTCATTAACCACAAACTTAATATTATGCCTAAAAATAATATTACAAATTATTGCACAATAATATATGTAAGTAGCCAACAAAAATCTAACTCAAATTCAAATTAGCAATTCAAATCCTTTATTGTGAATATATGTCAAGTGTAGATGTTACAGTAGTTAGTCAAGTGAACTATTTGCAAAATATAAGTTAATGTTATGATATTTTTTAAATAGTTGCTAGAGTTAATTAACTCGTCGAGTACCGGTTTTATAGACACAATTAAAGAACAATAGGTCGCGGTCACCGGTGACCGCTTGGTATTTGACAGATTAATTGATAAATACATTGTTCAAGTATACTCTAAAACAGATTATTTAATGATTATGACTGAAAATATAGCAAAATCTGTTGCATATCATGTTGATAGACAAGCTTAAGCTGTACTATTGCAAATAATATTAAAATTTGCTGAATGTGCATTGAAATAATTCATATATAACTTACTTTCATTCAACTTGCAGGTGCCAGTACACATTCTAATTAGTTATTAATGATTGTCTCTTAAAGATACACACATAAATGCAATCTGCATTGCACACAGCGACCTCTGATTGGCATGTTCAATAATCAATCAGGTGAGAGCACGCTATTTCAGCCACCTCCAGGGTTCTATGGATCAATACAGCTGAACAACCAACCTATAAATACTATGCACCTATATGCAACCAATGCACATCAACTGCAATTTTACCGTATAATACGGATAAAAGGTGTCTCGAAGATACTTACCCGGTGTTGATAATACATTCCGAATTTCTTCAACAACCTCACGTCGTTCTTTCAAACTTGCGGTCTGGATTTTAAATGGTATATCCTTCAATTTTTTTAATACCTGTCAAAAGAATTTTCAGTCATCAATAGAGTGATAGTTTCGTAGCCATTGAATGCGAGAAGCTAGTGAATTTACCTCGGAATCTGCCATTTTCCACACACATTTATTGAGAAAATTCTATTGAAAAAAGCACACACGTCTCGCTAAGCGAATTCCACAGATTAAAAAGAATTACTTTCCGAATCAGCTGTCAACATACAAACTTGCCATTAACAAACTTTTTTATACTATGGCTATTAGTCTTTTGTACCAAATTTATTGTTTGTCGTTTGCATGGTTGTACCACCAAGTCCAAGTCCCGTGTGTGGTCGTTCCTCTAGACTTCCATAAAGTAAAGATGTACTATGTAGAGTTCAGCCAGAGACTTTCTTTCAAACGTCAAAGTCAAGAGCAAGCGAGATCTGTGAGAATTGTCATTATTGTCAAAGTTCAAAACTCAGAAATTGTTTACAAAATCCGAAAATACTGTACAAAATTATAAAATATATATTAAAATGGATAAAAGACGAGACGACTTAACGGAATTAAAGTCTTACACCGAAAAAGTCGACAATGATCTTACAATGATTTTACAATCTCTTCAGTGGGACCGAAAAAATCTATTACAGGTAATATTTTATATTTCTTCTATTTTGTGTATAGGGTAGTAACATAAATTCTGCTTCTAAGTGTACCCATCGACTAAATGAGTGTAATTTGTTTATAAAAAAGTATTTGTGTACAAAATTTTGCTTTAAGAACAAAATGTAACCTCCATAAAGGAACCTTGGTTTATAAATGCTTTTTTTTTATTTCCAGAACCCTGTGCTATGTACTTGCAGATATGACTCGAATCACAAGATCCCTCCTGATACGATTGAAAAACACGAGAAAATATGCTTTTTGAGAGAGAATGGATATTCCAAAGAAGATCAGATGTTACCGGAGCCTCTGGATGCAAATGCGAATACACTTGTGAAACTGAGTAAATGTTCTTAATATTAATTTATTTGATTACAATCCTGTGACCGTCACCAGTGACCGCTTGGTGTTTGACAGTTTAATTATTAATGAATTTTCCACAGAGAAAGAAGATATCCAGGAAATGATTGCAAATGCATCAAGAGCAGATATTACATTCAAAAAAGGTAAAGTACAACATTTTTGTGTCCAAGCTATGTGTAGTTATACATCAATGCATGCCAGATATTTATAAAGTACATATTTCACTTTTCAGTTTATAGAAAATTTTATGGAGATTCTGTACTGCCACATCCTCCATTTGATGTATCCTTTATAATATTACATATATTGTGATAAATATTTATTTAAATAACTGTATGTGAGAACATAGTAATTTACACTGATTTGCTCTCAGATAATTATTATTTTAAAACATCTGGTCATTTTGGCAAAAGTACTTTGTGTAGTCATGAGAAATATGTTTTGAAAAGATTTTTTTTAAAGATTGATATAGAAAATAAATAATTTAAGCACCAATGTGGTAGAAATTTAGCAAGATAGAACTTAATAATTAAAACTATTCCACATAGTAACTGCAACTTGAATGGTTGTATAATTTTATCTTCTGTGGTGATTGAATGGGTCATGTCTGCATGATTTGTCCATATACCTAACTATATGTAAAAATATTCTGTTAAATGTAACATAATATGCTTAATACGAGTGCATGTGTAAGTGAGTGTACATCTATATCCAATGAGTTTCCTCAACAAAGGGGTGGGTTGCCACGGAGCAGAGCCAATGTCATTGGAGCGGCTTCAGGTGTGCTACTCGGCAGACGAGCGCCGCGTCATACACGATGCTGTGGTCACTGCAGTACCATCCTGTCATGATCTCGCTGACTTGGCATTACTCAGGTTAGTATATTTTATTTAATACATATCTTCATGATAACATAATTTTCATTTATTGGTTTATTCTTCTTTATTAGTTCTTTACTTTTTCTTTGCTGCAATATACACACTACCTATAACAAGAATTTATGTTATTTTTTCCCCTATAGTGAGAGTAACGAGCAGGGCTCCAAGGTAATCCTCACGCGCAAAGAGATCCTGTTGGAACTACGGAACATGCGGAGGCGGCGCACTAAGTATCGCGTTGCTCCTAAAACACGCAACTATTCGGATGTTTTACGTGATGTCATTAAGACACAGGTATGTGTATCAATGCAATACATTTTCATTGTTTTTTGTAGAAAATGTGTATTCAACTCGTGTCCGAGTCCCGTGTGGATCTTCTGGAAATATGCTCTATCTCTAGTACGAAACGAACATTATCTAAAGTAATGTAAATGTAGGTAGTTGTAGGTATCGAACAACTTTCACAGAATAACTTTATTTGGCATCAGTTTGTTTGAGCAGCTGCTATAATGCATCTTTCATGTTTGCAATGATAATTCGAATATCATGCATACAATAAGTATAAAGTAATATTATTTAATGCAACGTTTTAAACAGCCGTTTTTGCAATTTTAACAGATGGAAGTCTACAATGATGTTAAAACTGAAGAAACAATTCCTAAAGAAACAGTTGATGAAAACAACAGTCAGTATTCACATAATTTTGACAGAAATAGACACAACTCATATAATGTAGACAGAAATAGACATGACTCATATAATGTTGACAGAGATAGACACGATTCCTGTAATGTTTACAGAGATAGACACGATTCCTATAATGTTGACAGAAATAGAAATGACTCACATAATGATAACAAAAATAGATATGAACAACTTAAAAAATGGGTTCCTAGACCCATACAAGTTAAAACTGAAAGAGAAGAACACACAGACAGGGACAGAATAGATTACAGAAGGCGTTCGAGGCGAGACTCTGATGACGACGAAAGACATCGACATGGACGCAAAAAGTGGGTTCCTAGACCCATCCAAGAAGAAGTAAAGACAGAAAACAAAGACTTTAATGAGAGAGACGTAAGAAGTGATAGAGGGCATTCTCGACACCATTCCAAACACGACGACAGACATAGATATGAGCATCCGAAAAAGTGGGTCCCTAGACCTATTAAAATTGAAGTCAAAACAGAAAGAGAAAATTCCAGCGAAAGAGATAGAACCTCTGAAAGCAGACCCTCTAGACGAGACTATGGAAATTATAGTGAAGACAGAGACGAATACGAAGACTCGGTTCCTAGACCCATAAAAGAAGAAATTAAAACTGAAAGAGAAGATTCCGCAGAGAGACAAAGACGCTTAGAGAGAAGATATTCCAGCCAAGATTTAGGAATGGTGCCGAGACCAATAAAAGTAGAAGTAAAAACTGAAAGAGAAGATACGGAGAGTACTACAGAGCATAGGAGAGAAAGGTCACATAAAACTAATAATGATGAAGTAAATAGGACACATGAGAGCGATAGAAGTAGCAGACGAGACCACAACCCTAGAGAAACAAGATATTATGAAAATAATGACCAAGAAAGAATACAAAAGTATGGAGAGCATTCACGAAAGAGGAGAGACGGTTATGAAGAGTATAGTAATAACAGAGATAAAAGGAGAGAGAGACAAAACTACAGTGATGATAGAGAATATAGGTCTGAAAAGAGACATAAAACACATCATAGAAGTAATGATTATGATGTTGAAAGTAAGAGAAGAAAAGAGTCATGGGTAGATGAAGAATCGTATGATGATAGGAGACAGAAAAGAGATGATCGACGTAAGGACAAAGATCGCAGACGTAAAGACAAACATAGACATAGAAACTATGAAGATGGTGGCAGTCGTCAAGATTATAGACACGAAGACTCAGAGGAACCAAGTGACAGGATACAGATTAAACAAGAAAGACCGGATAGTGTTACATCAAGAGATAACCACGACGGCTGTGATGACGAGGGACACGGAGATAGGAATTGTGCAGGTCATAGGCGATACTATGACGACTCTGGCATGCAAAACGTATACGATCCTAATAAGAAAATTAAAACTGAGAAATAAAATAAGTATTCGTAATCTTGACGTTTAATTTTTAAAACTGCCTAACCCCATGGCAGACAGGCGTGAAGTTATGTATGTATTTTTTAAATATTCTTTCCAAATTAATATTGATTTCTCATATTTCGTATTCGTATACTATGATACAAATAAGCTAAGACAATTGGGTAGTTTCCAGGGTAAGAAAACTAAAAATATAATTAGTAGTTAATGAAAAAATACTAGACACGTATTTTTTTATTTTCTTATACGTTACAATACTTAGATAAAATGGGGTTAAATTTAGGAGTAGTTACGTCACAACGTGCTACATTTTGTTGCACGCTGTGACGTCACACGACATTTTAAATCAATATATCGTCGAAAGCATTTAATTTTGTGAGAAAAGAAAAAATACGTGTCTAATGTTTTAAAATAATTTACCAGACGGACATTAAAATAAAATTTAGGAAACTAGCCTATTCTAGGAGTTCATTACTCTTATAAAGTGCTCTTTACTCATAAATATACTGGTTGAGATTTTGACTCGTCAAGCTCAGCGGACCGGCGAAGAATTAGCAACTTAATCATTTAAAGATTATACAGTGTGAACGTGCTTTATAATGCGCTATACGTAGACTAAGTAAATTGGGATTTCTACACCTGCCTACATCCCAACACGCTGTATTAAGGTAAAGATAATAACTCTATAAATAAATATCTACATAACATAACATCACGCCTTTTATCCCCAAAGGGGTAGGCAGAGGTGCACACAGAAGTAACACCCACTTTTCACTATTTATGTTAGAAGTCCTATGTAATAGGGGGCAGTAATACTTTGCCCGACCCGGGAATCGAACCCGAGACCCCTTGCTCGGCAGTCGCTCTGGCGACCAGTCAGCCAACGAGGCAGTCGTATAGTAAATAAGTATCTAATAATTAAAAAATATCACTGAATAAACCTTCAAACGCACAAACAGTAAGTTAGGTCTTTATTTATGCATGGGCGGCGCTACCATCAAGAAAGTGATCCGTCCGTCTATCCGCTCTTTTGTGTCCTATCAATCCTATAAAACATGTAGGTATGTTAACACACCACTCTCGCTCAAGATTTCTTCCACAAGCATGCCCACGAGGAATTTACAACAAATAGTAAAATAAAAACATGGCAGTTAATATGAATGAACGAGAAAGTTGATCGATCATGCAGATATCTGAGATAACTGATTAGTATGCATCTGTTCGCGCCATCTTGCAACTATTAACATTTATTACAACTGATTCAATTACAGTTGTGTCGGAAATGTTTTAAGACCTACGAATCTACGTAATAGGTATAGGTACGTACCTACATAGAACGAGGCAGGTGCTGTGTGTGAGTTTTTATGGCCCTGGGCTTCACTGAAAACTTTAAAATATGATTCATTTTAGGTCCGTAACTTTACTTCGAAAGACAGTTGGTCGAACGAAGGAAAGTCGATTGAACAATTGGTCGAATGAAATTTACTTTAAAACAATCTTTTATCGATCAACCCTTCATCGACTGAATGATTTACCGAACATTTATTAATCGAAGAATGGATATTTCGAAATAATCTACCTATAGTTTAGTTATGTAATAATTAATAAAAATATATTATGTTGTCAAATTGGCAATATATTAAAGAAGGGCCAAATTAAAAGTACCCTTAACCGACGAGCATGTATGCATGAAAAGATTGATGACTGTTGATGAAGCGAAAGAGGTATGTAGCAATCGTAGTAATTGGCATTCCCTAGTCTCTGCCTACCCCCATGGGAGACAGGCGTGAAGTTATGTATGTATATGTATATTTCGTCACATACTACTTCATACATAAGATTAGATACGGTGTTTCAAAAACGTTTTTCATAGATTCACAACCGAAAGATGCACCTAAAAATGCAAAAAAAGAAATACAATAATTTCCATTAAAACGAATTCCATAAACTAACTAGCTATCTACAATAATGGCGATATGGCGATACGATTCATTCAAGCGTTTCCTACTTCCTAAGCAGATTAATGAGTAGCCTAAATTATTTAGAAGTACCTTCGCAGAAAATGTACTCCTTATTTTCTTTGTTATTAGGAGGACTTATAAAAAGTATAATGCTATCTAATTTCCAAGTAGCCGTGTATTTACTGATGGAATGGGTGCGCGTACGCAATGGGAGTGTGACGAGCGGCCGCAATGCTCACGCGCCGCTGTCACGGACGATATCGTGTTACTTAGAGAATTCATTATCCACATCTAAGTAAGAATCTGCGTTAATATTTATATGTGATATCGTAAAAAGTAATTTCTTCTATTCTCGCAAGTTATTATAAACATAAAATTGATCTGTACTGATAGTATCTGTACTTGGATTTAAACTAAAACTGCTGGATGGGCACTATTGTCAATCACTGCGTGATACTATAAAAGCTTCTTGGAAGATACTGCACTTTAGGCATTATCATAATATAAACCGCTCTTAGTAAAACAAGAAGTCCAAATTAGGTACTGACGGTGACAAAGCTGCTAACATTAGTTAAACCTGTACCTACCCTGTAGACACGTAACATTATAATAACGAATAGCTTGAGTATTACAATTTACCTAATGGACTAGTTAATCGTTCTGTGTGCGGGGCGGATCGATATACGATACGATAACAGTTAATTATAATCGAACGTCTTCATTAGCCCACTTATATAGTGTGAGCCAATCACTGCAGGCTGCAGGCACAATGCTAGAAACCACTCTAAATTACTTAGGTAGGTACAATGCAAAGGATTTAGAAACCTTCGTGTCAATTCAATAAACGGACAGACTGCGGTAATGAGCACTTAGTAATGTACGATACCTACATCGGCTATATTGATTGTAATGTTTTAGAGATACTTAAGTGCTTCAAGTAATAGAAGAATTATTTACCTATAAAACCCAGTTAACTTTGCCATCGCTACTGTTTCATATCATTACCTACTGCTATTAAGGATAAGGAGTATAGAGAGGTAAAGTGCTCAGGTACAAAATGAATCTTGTGTGATTTTACATGTTTTAATACTTTTTACGAGGAATGCCTTAAATAAATAAGGCCTTGGCCATTCCTAACACAATATTTTAGGTAGCATACCTTACTAAATTCACTCTCAGTTCGAGGTCAGATGGCAATCTTACTTTCAGTTGATACAATATAGGAAGCTGGCTGGGAAATAGACCGCACTAAACGTGGAAATCGGTCGAACCGATGAGAGGAAATGTAATTTCCTTGTTGCTTCCAATACTTATTTTGGGAAATAAGTTTCCCTCTGTAATCTCCCATGGTCCCTGTATCAAATTATATAAATGTCAAGTATAATATTGTGACGTAATGTGGTTATTCATCAAGCACTATGAGTCAGGGCCGCGACAATGATTTGTCGGGTAATTTCACGGGGCCTGAGCACTAATCGTTACTTATTATATCTTTAGGTACCTATAGGTATTGTATAGCGATAATTTCACAAACTTGATTTATGATATGCCCATTTATTGTTTGCGAAGAATGTGATTGTTCAAAATTCATCAATTTATAGCTAATTCATTCAATCTATAGCTAATAATAAAATCTTGTAAAAAGTTGTAAGTAGCATCAAGTCTGGTATTGTTTATGATTCATAATAATTATCAAAGAATTATTTAAAACAATGGTAATTTTAATTTTCCTTAAAAATGTAGTTCGAATGAAAGACAGTGTATTGAGATACCAAGTAAAGATAAAATGTGGATGAGTAGGTTTTTACATTGTTTGATTGCCATTTAATTAAGCAAGCAACGGCAGAGATATTTTTAGAACAGAGGTATAAATTAGAATCAATGTAATTAGTCACAATATTGGTAAGGCTTATTTCCCCACAAGGTGTCTGCACGTGGCTCGCTAATTAGATTGTGTCCAATCACTTCCTTTAACACGACACCTGTGGTGCACTGTACTGTAGCTCCAAGTAAAAAACTCCACGAAAGGCGTGTGTTTCAGTCGCTTGAAACGTGCTCCACATTTAAACAGACCGTGCTTTTTTACAGCTAGCCAGTGAATAATAAATCTGAATATTAAATAAGAACGAAATAATGTTTAATGCTAATGTGTGACTACTGCTCCGCTGATGTGTGTGACTGACTAATCGCAAAAAAGTCTGAAAAGATTAAAATCTCTCTTTTATTTGTTTTATTTTCGTGCTTCGTTTATCTTGTGGTCTCAAGCGTGACCGCTAACCACGAAGTTCTGGATCGACTCCAGTTTGTTTAATGTAGGTGTTGGTGGATTTACTATGTCTGAATTTTCAGTGGAACATGACTAAGCATAATGTTTAGAGTTTTAGAGGCACATTCATAAAAAATTGAATATTAAAACAATTTTCAAGTTAATCAACGTATGACCGTAGTTTTCAAAATAATAACGACCTATGAGGTACTAAAATAAAACTTAGAAAATTATATATTTTTCACGTAATATACGTGCACAACATTGGTAAGGAGGACGAAGGGCGAGCGATGCGCGAAGCTACAAGCGGCGCACGCGTACCCAACCGGACTGGCTCCACGGGGCTGCGAGGTCACGTCGCAGTAGGCTGTGAGTTGGATGGTACTATGTGTGTTAGTTAAAATAAGACATAAACAGTCACTGACATATTATATCATTATACATATTTTCAGGTAAGCCCTACAATACAAATTTACATTTTTGTTAATGAAGCTAGACGTGTCGTACACCACCGCAGGTTGTGAACGAACAGACTGCCTTCGCTAACTTTAAACAATCAACATTTCGTAACAATAGCTTATTGCATTATAATTTCGGCACTGTTTACTTACAATGCAAAGGATGTTTGGACGAGAAAGCAAAACAAGGAACCTACAAATATACTAACCAGTGTCAATACAATAATATCGGTAGATGTTCCTATCACCCCGCGACTTGCGACTGATGGTGCGAGATGCCCGTGGCCCGAGCGACCCGCAGGCCCGCGAGCAGTC